GCTTCCTGCTGCTGCTCTATGTAATCAGAGTATGAATTTGTAGATTTTCAATAGCAAAACTAAAATGTGTTTAAAAGTGCGACTGACCAAATCGTCCGGCTCGGTTTGCCCACCCCGAACTCGAAGACATCTCTAATTTGACAGTTTACCATCTGATTTCACTCAGTGACTCTAGGCTACGTAGGATTGGACGAAACCATGCAATGAATGGGGGGAGATAATTTAGCTGGAAATGCAGAAATAAGCTGTAATTTTCTTTTATTTATAACTCTTCGGTAGATACATTTATAATTTCTATTACATTACTACTACTACTGTTACTAATAATAAAACAGATCTCTGGGGGCCCCAAAAGTGCGTGGGCCCTTAGAATCGTCCTAACTCAAGTAACCCTGAACACCTTGATTAGCTGCTTTAGGTGTGATTGGTGTTTGATTGGGGTTTCAATTGTAGTCCATTACTGATACATGATGAAAACTGTAGTTATTATAACGTAATCTGATTTACTCATTTTAGGTAATGTATTCTGACTATTTATCTACATTGTTTTAAACTTGCCATTAAACGTACCATATTGATATAAATAGCAAGGAGAAAGAATATATATATATACATATATATCAATATCATAAAATGCATTAAAAATGACATTACACCAGGGTTTAAATGAGTTGATAAAAAGTCACTAAAGTTTGAAATATTTTATTTGTTTACCTGCATATCAGTTAAGGAATATTAAACTGTAAACATGCAAATGTGTTTTTAAATTATTGAAATATTACCTTTCTCAGAGATGTTTCGAGTAAATATTTGATGTCAAATGAGTTTGGCTGACAAAAACCTTTGAGAATCCCTGCATTACATGAACAAACATATATAAACATGAAAACAGCAATGACATTACAGCTGTGAAAAATCTTTGACCAGACTTCAAGAATCACCAGTTACTGAAGGTCACCATGGTCTACAATGTAACATTTAAGGGGTCCTATTATGTTTTTTGTTTTTGTTTTTTTACGCTTTTTTTAGCGTGTAATGTAATATATATATAGAAGAGTTGACTATGCGTCTGCTACCATAGGCAAGGCCTGGTTGAGTTGTGTTAGTAGTATGTTGTCACCTGTTTCACAGATTTAATATACTGATACACATGCAGCTGTTTACGTTCACAGACATAACTGACTGTGTTTATGTGAAATCTGTGTGTTTTGTGTGAGTTTGTTGTGTGTTGTTGCTGTAGTAATTGAGGCAGGAGCTGTAAAGGCAGGGGAAAGCAGCTCATTTGCATTTAAAGAGACATGAAAGCAGCATATTTTTCGCTTGCAGTCAAAAAGGGACATTTATAGCGTGGTATAATGAATGATCTGTGGGGTATTTGAAACTGAAACGTCACAGACATATTTTTGGGACTCCTGAGACTTACATGCATCTTATAAAAAGGGCCATATGAGCCCTTCTTTAGTTCAGTTTCACATTCTGTTGTCTTTTAAAACAAAAGCAATAAATTCTCGTACTTTCTTAATTACATATTTTGCCAGCTCAAAGTTACAATCTAATGCCCTTGTAGTTGCATCATACATTGAATCAGCTTGTCCTCCCTCTTCATATCCAATAATGCATCCTCCAAGTGCTGCTATAATCAATCCAGTGCTGATCGCTGTAAGTAGTTTCTGAGCCACTGCTGCTGCTCTGTTTGCTGCTGCTTCTGCAACTTCATTTGCTGGTGCTGTAACTCCTGTAACTCTTGTAATTCCTGTAAATCCTGCTGCCCCCAAAACTTGTGCAATTCCCATTCTTCTAGCAATTACAAAAACTTGGGTCAACAGTCCTAACATGACCAGACCGGCACCTGTCACCGTCCCTGTCAACGCTCCCACAATCTTGCGTGAAATATTGGCTATTGGAAAAATACACATGTTATTAGATTTTATAATGTAGTCATGTGAGAACATTATTTACATTCTTAAATGTAGTTTTGCTGATGGTCCATCACAGTTTTACACAATCTAGCCTGAGCTTTAGTTAAACTAAACCTACCTCCCATTATTCTTGTCTGCTGTTGATGTTGGCCTCTGTAAATGAATATGACAAGATTATTCAAAACCCTGGATATGCCTTAATATCTAGAATGATTCATGGATATGTGTATGTATGTCTATAAAGCATCACTCTAGTGCAGGGTTTCTCAAATCTTGCCCTGGGGGTCCAATGCGCTGCAGAGTTGAGCTCCAACCCTGATAAAACTCACCTACCTGTGATTTTCTGATGATCCTGAAGACATTGATTAGCATGCTCAGGTGTGTTTGATTAGGGTTAGAGCTAAACTCTGCAGGAAAGTGGATCTCGTGGGCCAGATTTGAGGATCCCTGATGTACTGTATCTTATTCTGTTAAATCACATCATAATGCATTGTTGCTTCTCATGTAAATTGATCTTGTTTCAAGAATTTGTAGGTATTATAACTGGAAAATGAGATTGTTATTGTTTAGAAAATGAAAAGGTGCAGTGTATCCATACAACTAGACTAATATATTCAAAGAAATGTTTAAATATATATTAGGCAAATATTGTAGCCCGTTTCTGTTCCCACACTGCCCCTCATGGTCAGGTCTAACATAACCATCATCATCATTATCATCGTCATCAATGAACACTCATCATTTTCAAATGCTAAAATTAAAACTAAAACTGAAATAAAAAATTAAAGCTATATAGAAGCATAAAAATGACAAGCACGTACCAAAATTACTAAAACTAAAATGAAAATGGACCATATGAATTAAATGCTAATTCAAAATATTAATAATTAAATGAATAATGCTAAAATTACTCCGGTGAAAATGACCAGCTTACTGTGCACTATCCTGCTTATTACACGGTTATTTGGCAAATGCACATTGACATTGAAAATGTATTTAAATTTAAATAATTTTATATTTTACTTTTATATTATTGTAAAGCTTACGCTAAGAAAAAAAGGTTAGTTACAAAATACAGAACAATCAGCCTAGCAACAAGACAACACTGCAACATTACAGTAATATTAAAACTGAAGACATTTAATGTGATACATTAACTGAGACACTAGATGGCGCCAGTTGCGTTTGACTTGAAAGTGACGCTAGGCTGATGTACAGTGTTGCCATAAATGATGATTGACCCGACTAGAGTATTCCAGAGAGCCGTGTAATAAGTGCTTGTAATGTTCGGTTTTCAAAGGAAAAGAGAAAAAAATTGTTTTTTCTTTTATTATTATTTTTTATTTAGTATTTTGATTTATTTATTCTTTTTTCTTCTTCTTTTTATTATTATTATTTATTTATTTATTTTATAAGGGTGCAAGTTTTTTGTCACCATGCCATGAACCTGCGTATAAGTAATCACACACCAACAGAATTGGTAATAAAGATGTGTGGATTCAGATATGACTGAAATGGTCATCAGTGTCACCAACCTTCTAAAAATTGGGTAGAAAAGCACAAATGAGTAGGTTAGGGCCACTTTTTCCAAAAACCATATCGGCAGTGAATGAACTATGGGCGCTATTGATCTCTAATGGCATATCATTGAATTTGCTTTCAAATGCGACGGGTGAAAGGAATGTTTACTTGTGTTAATACTTGTTTTGTTAATTTGTAAATACATGAATTATCTTTTATTTAATGATTTCTTTATTATATCTCAATTTGTTCATTTCTTTTTTTACTACACAAAGTGTTTAGTATAAACCTCTCAATGTGTGTTTGACGGTATGTGTGTGTGGAGGGAGTGTGTGTGTGTGAGAGAGAGAGAGTCTATTGTTACTGATCTTCGCTGGGGCGAACCAAGTTACTGTGTGAAAATGTTGCTTTCTTCTTTTCCTACAGGTTGTTTATATGTGTCTGATGATTTGCTGATAATAAACAAGAAAAACATTGCTGTACATGTGGCTCATTTTAGTTTTAATTTCATTTTAGCTTGCCAGTTGTTGCATTGTCAGTATCAGAAAAGTGCACATTGCTTTGGTAAGATCATGTTGAGGAGGTTCAATATTGTAACTGATTTTGTGCAGACGAAATAGATTTTCTTTGAGATCATCCCAGTGTTGAGTGGATACATTCATTCAGTGTAACATAAAAAAAGACGACAATAGTGAAATTGGCAGCAAGTTTATGGTAAAATTTAAACCCAAATAGTTGTTTAACATAAATATTTAGGGGGTCACTGATGGGTCTGTCACATGAAAATGCCAGTATCATCTGATATGCTCTTATAACTTATTTTAGTGCCACAGTTACTGCTGCACAATGTCTGTGAAGTTCTAATAATACTAAAAACTGAATAAATAAATAATCCTATTCAGCAATGATGACAAAACAGATATTGATTGAAAAAAAAGACAGCAAAGACTATTACAATGTTGCAAAAGATTTCTATTTAAAAAAAATGAAATTGTTTTACTATTCATCAAAGAATCCTGAAACAAAAATCTTTATAAAATTATATAAAATACTTATAAAATGATTGTATTTCCACAAAAACATTAAGCAGCACAACTGTTCTCAATATTGAAAATGATTTATGAAATGACTACTGTATGTAGTGTATTTTTATCAACCAAATGTAGTCTCATAAGAGACTTTTATTCAAAAGCATGAAAAATCTTACCCACCCCAAAACATTGAATGGTAGGCTAATATAGTAAAAGCCAGCATGTTACAAAGTATCTCAGTTTGCCCCACAGCCCTGGTGAACCAGGGTAAATCTTTATGATACACATTCATTTATTTATTTATTGGGAAAGGAGAGGAGAGGAAAGGAAAGGAAAGCCCTTTCCCTATTGCTCAAACCTGGCTCAAACACACACCAATCAAAATTAACGTCGTTAAATTTGCGTATTTTCGCCCATCTATAACCAATCGTTATCAACAGCAACCACTCAAGCCAATCAACTTTCAGTATAACTTTACTGCGTCATCCATCCTGCTAGTAACAACAGGGGAAGAAGAACTTTCACATATAAGCATATATCGATAAATTCAAATGAATAACTACAGGAAATAATAATAAAAATGTCATAAAACATTTTTCATACTAACTTTATACTTAGCAGTTTAGCATGTGATGCAGATGAACATCAAAACAATACTTAAAATATAATGTTTTATTGTCCTAAATAGATATGAACAGTGGTAACTGCAAGAAAAGCCATCTTGTATTTTTGCAGCATCCAAAAAATAAGTTCCATAAACACCGGTGTTATTTTTGCCACTCCAGATTTTGCTGTAATTTAGATCTTATTGTAAATAGCAGGCAGCAATTTGGATTTAGATTCAGTTTATTTAAACATAATATATAATATTACGTACAGGATATGATTCATACATTTTTATGGTAGTTTACATAATGCTGTAACACTTCCAACTGTATAACAGTTATGCATAATAAATTAAATTTTGTACAAATATACAATATGCTTAATATTTATTTATTTATATTTTTTCAAGTATTTATTTTTGGCAGGCCTTATATCTCAAAAGTATGGAAATTTACAAATTTTACAAAACTTACCAAATTTTATGTGGTTATATTCTCAAACTGATTCATATGGGGAGGAGTTATATTAAGCGTGATCTGTTGTCATGTCACAATCGTGTTGCAGTGTGGTACATCGAGCTGCAGAGACCCAGTTCCTCAGTCAGCATTGACAGGTCGAGGGTCTGTCCATGCAAACTTCCCTCGCAAAAGTGGAATGCACTTTTAAATGGCGTCGGGGATTCTCTTTAGGGGAAGTGCTTAGGGAAGTTTGCGAGTGTGTGTCTAAACGTGAAGTGGAACGCAACCTAAAGGGTTTGATCAGCGGGACCCACAGTGCTGCACATGCCTTATTTAATCACTGTAGGCGCAGGTAACTATCACATAAATTATATTGTGAGTACAAAAATTAGTAAAGCATGCCTTATTCACACTTACAAGCAATTGTTCTCTACTAAATGCAAACTCAGCAGAATCTACAACATGTGCTTATTCAGTCTTACTAGGGTTTCGACCCTCACAGATTTGGACTGTTTACATCCTTTAATTAAAACATGTTGTTTATTTTATTTTATTTTATTTGAGATTTAAACTGTCCGATATATAGATATATTAGCAGAGCTGTAGTAAATATGATATATCTCAGAAGTGGATTACCTGCAGTGATGCACCTGCTGTTTGGCTGTAGATTATTCCCTGATCTATAACGTACAAATATAAAGTTAGTCACACCAAAAAATAACTTTCAGTGATCCAAAATCATTGACACAGCCTACTGTTAGTCACATCAACCTGAGCACTCACGTTTTAGCCTTTGGGTCAAATGCAATATGAGACAATGTAAGAGTGTGAGAGTGTGAAAACAATGTGTGTGTGTGTCTTCGGGACATTGGGTCTCATTCACTAATAACTGTGTGGAGAAAAAGTACCATCCACAACACGTTCCTACATTTTTTTTTTATATAATTTTGAAATAAAATATTTAGTTTGAAAGGTGTATCATGAGTTGTTTGTGAAAATGTTTGTATGCATAGCAAACCCCCAACTACTGCCATTATATCAGTGACAGTATTTTTGACAGTATTATTAACAGTATTATAACTATTAAAACAGGTTGATACATGATTTTACAAACAGATTTCATCATTTTGTAGTAAATTAACGCATGTTTCAGTTAGGAAAGCAGCAAGAAGAGGTCTGATACCAAAAGCTAATCAACTCAGTGTCAGTAAATGGAGTTATACTGTGAAATACTCACATCGATCAGAATCAGCAGTGCTGCAGAGGAGGTTGTTGACCACCGACAGACACAATGTAAGGCCCAGCTTGGAAGAACTCTCCCTGATTGCAATGACTCTCCCAACCTCTAGTTGGCACTAACTAGTAACACTCCCCATCATTTCGCTTACACTGGTTCTATGCAATAACACTCCTAGCCACTAGGTGGCCCTAGCTTCTGTTGATAGATACATCACTACTCATTAGGACTTGAATGCCCCCAGCCGTGTGTCTTTACCCAATTAATGTTGGCCTATTTAAGCGTGCCCCATTTTCTCACCTGTGTTCAGTCTTGAGCCTACTACACCTGTGTTTCCTCACCACCTAAGCTAGTTCATTGAGATTTTGGATTTTGCCTTTTGCTCATCTTTTATTTCTTGCATTTTTCTATGGAAGCACGGCTTCCCTGTTGTTGTACTTTCGAACTTGGGCTGCTCCAGTAAAGCTTTTGTTCAGTTATCTAAGTCTCTCTGTTATGCTTCTGCCCTTGGATCCCTCTGTCGACTGTCATCCACTATAGCACAGTGGTAGAGGAGACAGCTCGGTTGCCTAGCGGACCCGAGTTCGATTCCCGCCTCAGACACCCATCACAGCATGCTAATGTTTGCTAATAAACTTATTAAACATTAGATAATGTTTAACAAATCATTATTTCATGTAAATTAAAATGCTTACAAATGTCATTAAACTTTCAATTCCATATGATCAAGCACTTACTGAAAATCTACAAACAATTTTAACAGATGCCATAAAATGACTAAAAGCTTGTGTTAATGCACAACACGTTTGCTGCTATTGAGGTGAGAAAGGGCACAAGTTCGAGGTTGAAACCTTCCTTTTTCTTTCTGATGAACAGATACATGACAAACACATTCAGCTCTGAGAATGAAATACAGTAAATATGTCTAGCATTTTTCCACTAAAAGCTCACAATACAATGCATTTTCTATTTTTTGTTTTGTTTTCAACTCTCTTCCTAGAGTTTGGAGAATGGATGAATGATCCTCATTTGTAAGACACCTTTCATAAAAGCATATGCTTAATTGATTTTAAGCCCAGAACTCTCAGAAAACTCCAAGCCTACAGTATAAGTTTATTCCACTGATTGGAAGACTATAATTCACATAATTTTTATTTGTTCATTTCAATTTTGATTTGTTCATTTGAAAATAATTATAGATACAGAATAAATCATTTCAGATTTTTGCTGACAGACTATAGGCAGAAATATAACATAAATACAAAAAATGACAAATTCAGAAAAAGAGAAGTACATGTTAATACTCAGAAGCAAAATGTAAAAATATATGGTTAAACACTTTAAGATGCCCTACATTTATATACTACTACATGATACTACATGATCAGTGTCCCCAACAGTATTACTGAACTGACTGTACTGACACTATTGGATGAGAACTGAACTGAACTGAACTGAGCTTAGCTTAGCTTAGCTGAGCTTAACTGAACTGAGCTGAGCTGAGCTGAGCTTAACTTAACTTAACTTAACTGAGCTGAGCTGAGCTGAGCTTAACTTAACTTAACTTAACTAAGTCTCTCTGTTATGCTTCTGCCCTTGGATCCCTCTGTCGACTGTCATCCACTATAGCACAGTGGTAGAGGAGACAGCTCGGTTGCCTAGCGGACCCGAGTTCGATTCCCGCCTCAGACACCCATCACACACAAAAAGTTTTTTATTTCTTTGTCATAGTTTTAGTTTCGTTGTAGTTGTCTTGCATGTGATGCTGCTTTAAGCAGGGTCTGTGGTCATGGATAGAATCAAACAGGAAATAAATTGCCCCCACACATGTAGGTTAAATGTTGTCAAACTAGTTCTGATTTACTTAATCACTTCTCACATTTAATCATTAAATTCGCTGCACTTCCCATTCGGGTTTTTTTGAGAGGTCATTTCCTGGATGGCCAGAAATGAGTAAAATGAGTAAAGGCATTGCCTTTGCTGTGGCTTGGTGTAGTGATGGAGGCAAGGGGTGCATCTCATTTTGTTTTTGTGCACCCTCGTTTTCTTTCCTTGTGTCTTAGCTCCACCCCCTTAGGATGCATGGGAAGAAAATGAGGATAGTATAATATATATATATATATATATATTAACTTAGCTGAGCTGAGCTGAGCTTAACTGAGCTGAGCTGAACTTAACTTAACTTAACTGAACTGAACTGAGCTGAGCTGAGCTGAACTGAGCTTAACTTAACTTAACTTAACTTAACTGAGCTTAGCTTAGCTTAGCTTAGCTTCGCTTAACTTAACTTAACTTAACTGAACTGAACTGAACTGAGCTGAGCTTAACTTAACTTAACTGAGCTGAGCTTCACTGAGCTTAACTTAACTGAGCTGAGCTGAACTTAACTTAACTTAACTTAACTTAACTTAGCTGAGCTGAGCTGAGCTTAACTTAACTTAACTTAACTTAGCTTCGCTTCGCTTAACTTCGCTTAACTTAACTTTTAACTTAACTTAACTTAACTTCACTTCACTTCACTGAGCTAAACTGAGCTGAACTTAACTTAACTTAACTGAGCTGAACTTAACTTAACTTAACTTAACTTAACTTAACTTCGCTGAGCTGAGCTTCACTTCACTTCACTGAGCTTCACTGAGCTGAGCTGAGCTGAGCTGGATGATGACATCACTTTTTTTCTCTAGAGCTGCTTTATGCCCAAATTGAACTAATTATTAAATTATGATATTTACAATGGAACTGAATCAACAAAGACACTATTTTCTTGTTAGAGCTGCTTTACAGCCAAAATGAACTCTATTTGCATCATTGAATCATAGTTTCCTGTTGATCGCTGTAAGGCTGCTTTGAAACAACCTGTAATATATGAAGCACTATAAAAATCAAAGTGTCTTGACTTGACTACACCTCTATGACTTTTGATACTTTTGGTCTTACAAATACTTTTGGTACATTTGGTCTAAGTAATTTTACATATGTATCTGCTTTTACTTTAAATTGGTGAACATTCTCAATCACACGTTTAGCCATCTCAAAGTTGCAAACGATTGCCCTAATCAAGGCATCATACACAGAATGAGCTTCTTGTGCGGCGTCCAATCCAATGACAAACCCTACAGCTGCTCCTACAAATGGAAATGCTAGAACAAAGAAAACTAGGAATACTGGCCCAGCAGCTAATGCTGCTGCTCCTGTAACAAGTGTTCCCACAAAAATATGGTTGTTCAAAGTTTGTGATTTGAATCCACAAATAAAAATCAGAATTGAAACCAACAGAACTGTAAAGGCCAGACTAGCACCGATCGCCATCCCTGCAATCGCTCCTATAATGTCGTGAGATGGTTTGGCTGTTAAAAGAAGATACATGTTATTAGCCTTCATAAAGTCATCTTTAAAACAAAATGTTTTTCCCCCTCTATGATATTGTAAATGTGTATATGTGGTGTCTTCAATCATTACTCATTGTTGACAAAATTACTAATGTTCCCCATTCATCCTGAGTGTTTACGGTGGCTATTAATGATAATTAATAACAGCAGACTCAATATATAGGTGACACTTTAACATACCTGTCATTGTCCTTATCTGACGGTGACCACTGAAATAAAAGAAATCTGTCTTATCACTCATTGTTGTCATGTTATTGAGCAAAATTGAAACTGTAAACCATAAAAATGTATAACATTTTTAAATATGTGTGTGTGTGTGTGTGTGTGTGCGTGCGTGTGAGAGAGAGAGAGAGGTAATGTATGATACCTGTGATAATGATGATTCTCTTTTGTGAAGCTGGAGAAAAGACATCATGAAAATAACACTATAAATAAATCTGAAAAAAATATAGACACAACCTTTAACTTTTAATGAATGAAACAGACATGAACTACTTACACTGATTTGAGCTCTCGCTCTTCTGTTGTCATGCGTCGAAATATCAAGAGACTGACAGTGAGGAGAGTTAGACATATATACCTTTTATCAACACTTTCACAAACATGTTGTGGAACCTGTCGAATCTGGCCTGGGCAGGTTTTCCAGAAAGCTGTTCATGTGCCATATGTGAAGTTTACGTGTAAGTGCGCAGATAACTATAACTTTTAGTCCCAAAACCTTTATTAGGCCAATACAGTAAATAGAGTGGCCAAAAGTGATGTCCGCAGGGGATTTTTGCACAATATTTGCTTTTAATGACACTAGGTTCAGTTAAACAATCAAAATATGAGGAGTATGTTATATTGGGAAGAAGAAAACACTACATTTGGTTAAAATGACAGTTATTTGGCAAGAAAGGCAATTTCCAAAATGGGTTTTATTGCAACAACAAAAAAAGCATAGTAAAACAAAAAGCTCACTGAAAATGTAAATGTATTATTATGAATACAATTAATAAATGTAACCAGTTATTAATATTTTGTTTGTTTCTCCATTGTTTTTTATTACAGCAGCCATTCTGCTAGCTGACTATGTCATTCTTAACTTCTTTCAGTCCTCCTAAAGTTCTTCCTATGAGCATCGTTAGAAGACCTGCATGACTTATAACAATTCAGCTTTATCATTTCCTAAAAGTCCATTAATCTAAAACATGTTGGCCATTAAATATTTGTTTTGTCTGCTATGTTGTGACATTAATTTTCGGGCACCACTCATAGTTTCTACTATCTGCAAATGCTGACTGTAAAAGTCATGAAACCAAGCAAATCAGTGACATCAGGGCTGTAATATGATTGATCTATATCAAAGAAAAGGGTCTTTATCTATATTGCAATATGAGGCACATGTGATTCAGCTTTCCCGGAAATGATCATCTTGTCCTGCTGTAACAAGAGGATCTTTGTTTTTACTGTTTCTCATTCTCTGTTTTTGAACCACCGTCGTTTTCTTTAACTAGCTACTCATCTGTGTGATTTGTCAGAGAGGAAAAACCCCTTCACACATCTGATGATCAATAATCAAAAACGTTGTCCATAGGTTTTCTATAGCAGAATTAGTTTTGGTCTTTAATTTAAAGTTCAAGGATTTTGATGTTATTGTGACATGTATAAAAGAGATGAATGAATTTATTATTTATTAATAAATATTTCCGTAAGGTTCCCCCTGTTGATGGCTTTATATCGAACTTAGCTTTTTACGTCAAATCAGAAATATATATATATATATATATACATACTGTATGTGTGTGTGTGTATATACATACTGTGTATGTGTGTGTGTGTGTGTGTGTGTGTGTGTGTGTATATATATATAAGCGCGTGCGTGCACGTGTGTGTGTGTAGAACATGAAGAACATTTTTGTTCATGTTTGAATTGTCATTGTCTATGAGTTACACGTAGCATGAGCGACATCAACTGGACAAAGTACATCCAGGTTGTGAAGAAAATAATATAATTATTTTATATCTATTTTGTACTGTTTCAAATTTTGGGCAAAAAAATGTGAATACAATTAATTCTGAATTGAATGCTTACTGAAGTCATCCTGGCAATCACAAACATATTTTTTTTAACTAAACACACTTTTTCATGGAATTGATGCAGATTAATGCACCATATAAAACAAATGTGAAACAAAAAATAAACATAATGTGCACTGTTGCAGTGTCATTTTAAAGACATATTATTTTACCTCATTTTTTTTTTAAATCTCAGTTATTGTGTACACCAGCTGTGCAATAATCAAACACACTCACTCACACATATATTAATACATTATTATCTTTTGTCACTGATAACTCAAGGAAGAAATGATACATTTCTAGGTAAGATTTGCGGTAATGAATCCCAGGCCACAGCTATACGCATGTACAGGAAACTGAACAGAGAAAAGAACAGGTGTGACTGCAACACATTTTAATTAAAGGGGTGGTTCACTGTTTTTTTTTTTTTGTGCTGCGGTTGTATTGTAAACAACGGCGTCGTTAATATCGCTCATCAGTTTGAGACCGATTGAGAAGCAGAGAGAGAGAGAGAAAGAGATGCAGAGCGTGTGCAGAGCAGGGGGATGCGAGGAACAGTATTAAGAACCGCTGCTTTAGAACATTGATTTTGAAACTTGTGAATCCATTAGAATCGTTAGAAGACAGAATCGTGATTCATATATGAACAGATTTTTACATGCACCTCTAGTTTTCTCTTCCTCTTCTCTAAAGCAGCGCAGCATGGCCTCGCCTTCTTGTAGTTAAGCTGTGCTGCCTTGATCATGGCGTCACACACTGAATCAGCTTCTTCTGCTGCTTTCAATCCAGTGATTCCTCCTCCAGCAGCTCTTATAAGAGCTGCAACTCCAGTAACAGCTACTCTTGCTTTTGCTACTGCTCCTCCTCCTGAAGCCACAGCTTTAACTACCGCTCATGTTCCCCTACATTTCCTGTCATTACTACTACACTTCTTTTAGCAATACATATGTTCAATGGTTTTGATAAAGCATAAATGAAAGCTAATGCAATACATGCTCCCAGAAGAGCACCGATCACCACTCCTGTTGCTGCTCCTACAAGCTGCTTAAGAATTTTTTCATGAATAATTTCATTTCCTCTTGAATCTCTTTCTCCAACATCTGAAGAAGCTCATTGCTGTAGCAGCCATTCTTTCACCATCTTGTCGATGGTCTTCAGTAGATTTTTCACCTGAACCTTGTTGCTCTTGTTCCCCCATATATGTTTTTCTTCCAAACCAAGGTTTAAAACAACGGATGCTTCTCATTTATTTTTTGTGCATCCTCCTTTCCTTTCCTCGCCTCTTAGTTCAACCCCCCTTAGGATGCAAGGAAAGAAATGAGGATGGAGAAATCAAAGGAAAGCTTATGTGTACATTGGAATATTCTAGATCACTGAAGCGTCACTTCAGAGCGTCATCAACTGCGCTTGAGGACATTCATAATAAATGTTAATAAAGCAAGATGCCTTGTTACATATGAGCTGTATGGTTTATTTTATACTGCAAAGGTAAAACAAAATTCTGACAGATGTGAAGGGGAGGGAGAATTTATACGTTCATCTGTTTTTTTGATAAGAAAGACTTCTGCATAGACTACACCTGTATCCTCACTTATAGCTCGTCTGCAAGGTTCTTCACTACTTGATTCTCATGGGTGCAAGTGCAAGTGAAGTTTCAATGAAGCAGTGTTTCGAAAGTATCGATACTAAGGTGTCTTTTTTTTACCAGTGATTTTGTTTTATAATTGTGTAGGATGGAACTATTTTCCTGCTCATCTGAACACACGCAAATGCTGCAAGACAGAACTAATCAATCACAGAGAGCGTTACTCACTTCTGACAGTGCATTCAAACAGGGCTGCGTTTCCCAAAAGTATCATAAGAAACCACTGATGCTTTTGGGAACGGCAGAACAATGCTTATCAGAGGACAGAAAAAAACATGTTTGAGTTATTTCACAATAAACAAATTTAAATTGTAGCTTACATAGTTTGTGCAATTACATTTATTTAAATTGAACGTTAAAAGTTCATATTGATCATGTTCTATTCAGTAATGTTAATATAATTCATAGCCGTCACAGAATAAAAAGGTTGGATTATATGCATGCAACAGCCTTTCACTGGCAGTCCCTTATGAAAATGAACCATGGTGGTTTTACGAACGTGACCGTAGTTCAACTATAGTATTTGTAGATTCCCATGGTTACCACTACAGTAAACATATTTTAACCACATGTAAACAAAAATATAACCTAATAAGTTGCAATTAAGGCGTATTGAATCTTAAAATTAGTTTCAAATATAAAGTTAAGTGGGTATCTTTACCCATTTTACTCTTAATAATTTAATAAATTTCATAATTTAAAAGTTAAGTTTAGAAGTATCGTATCGGTATTGACGATACTGGCCTGTAAAAGTATCGGTATCGTATCGAAAACAAAATAAGTGGTATCGCCCATCCCTAGAGTCAAGTCATCAGGCTTCTGATTGGCCAACGTGGCTTTACGGTCAGGGTTGTATCGTCACCTGTTGGTTTGGCATGCTATTAAGAGCACTTCATGGCGTGTTTTTGAATTTTCATGTGGACGGACATTTTAGTTAAATTTTTTTTTTAAATGGAGGAAAGGCCTGTACTTGTGGACAAGGCCTGACTCTGTGACAGGTACATTATTGCACTTGTGATGCAGATAACTCTGATACAAGTCGGGGGAAATGCAAGTCATGATAAAAAGGCTCAAAGACATGTAACAGCAGGTTAAAAGTGGTTGATTCAGCAAATGTTTTTTGTTAACACTATCGGTAAGGGTAGGGTAGAGAGTTCCAGGTAAGACGTTAACAATTTAGCCCAACTCACCGGCCATTTCATTTCTTAATAGCCGTGATTCTTAGGCTATAACCACAAAAAATAAATAAATAAACAAATAAATATATAAAATTAATTAATCAATTAAAAACGAATGTTGCAAGTCATGTATAACTGTTTCAGAGAAAATGTACACACTATTTAGCGCTGATCACTGGAAATTTCACATTAAAATCGATATCGATAACTAACTTACTAACTAACTAACTACAATGGGTATAGAAAAGAATCATCTCCCTCCCTGGGAGTGACTTTAGTGGCATATTCGGGTGATTGAGAACGAGTGGGTGGAGCTGAGAGGTCTGGGTTGACTACAACTTCTCATTAAAATAGCTTAAACTGATTCACAGACCCTCCCTGGATCAGGACGTCGCTCCAAACCGGATGAAAGAGCCGGAGGAAACTGGTCAGAGAGGCGACCAAGAGGCTTACAGCAACTCTGAAGCAGCTGCAGGAGTTTATGACAAAGAGTGGTCATTGTGTGCATGTGACAACAATACCACAAATTCTCCACAAATGTGGCTTGTTTGGGAGGGTTGTGAGAAAAAAAGACACTCCTCAAGAAAGGTCACATGCAGTCAGACTGAGCTTTGCCAAAACACACCTTGAAGATTCTGAGGCCACATGAGACAGACAGTCCACAAACACCCACCATCAGATTTAACTGAACTTGAGCAGTTCTGCCAAGAAGAGTGGGCAAATATTGCAAAGTCTTTATGTGCAAAGTTAGTACAGACAAATCCTAACAGACTAAAGGCTGTAATTAAAGCAAAAGGTGCTTCAACAAAATACTGACACAAGGGGCTGATCCTTTTTCCTACTCAGTGATTCAGATTTTTTTTTTTTTTCTGACATGTTGAAAAAACATGTCAGAAACATTATATCTTTCACTTGGATGTTATAAGTTGCACTATGTAAATACAGCTGAATAAAACAAAAACTGTGTCCGTCTACATTTCAGGCTGCAAAGCAACAAAATGTGATTATTTTAAATGTTTTACATTAAATGTTATGCATCTGAGACTTTAATAATGTGACTCAAATGGCTTGTTTCTTCTCCAGCTCCAGTCTGAAGTCTTGCCTCACAGACCTAAACCTCTTCAGTCAGGTGCGTGTGTGCGTGTGTGTGTGTGCGTGTGTGCGTGTGTGTGTGTGCGTGTGCGTGTGCGTGTGCGTGTGTGTGTGTGTGTGTGTGTGTCTGCAATGGGGATGTTAATTTGAGTGTGTGTTACCCCCTGTTAAATATACAGTATATGTATCAGAGGGATTCTGATTACCCTGAAGATTATCTTTCTGATAATGACTGTACATGATCATGCTTATTCAATAACTACTTTCCAAATAAATACATTTAAAAAAATAAATACATGGTCATGAAATAAACTGACACAACAACACAACAGAAATGCTCCTGCTCCCTATAGAGGATGTGTTAAACTAATGATTTATACCAAACGTAATGGTCAAACGAAATCCAAATTTTGGACAATTTACTGTAGTACCATTTTTTTAACCATTAGCCAAAGTCGTTTATGTAGTTATGTGAAGATAAAGTGTCATTTAGAGGTGGTGTCTCCCATGCCGATGTCCAGAAAAGCACCAATCAGTGTCCCTTCAGCCAATCCTGCAAGCCTTTTCACATATTCTTCATGAACAATGCCCTTTTTCTCTTTTCTCTTGTAAAGACAGATTGCTCTTGGGGTTATATTCTTGTCAATATCCACTTGATTTCTTTCCTCCAGCTTTTGAAGCATCTCAGTGGTGTAGTGGCCATTCACTTTTACCATCTCTTCTATCTTGTCCAGCAGGTTTTTGACCTGAACCCCGTTGCTCTTGTACTCTCTACTGCTGATGACGTGACAGCAACCTCCACATTTATCAGCCAGCTATAGTTTTCAACTTTTCTGAACAAATTTCCCAATTCTTTGATTTTTATTTTCTTCACCATGAGTGAATAAAACTACGGAATGTTTAAAGGCATACAGTTTTATCCACAGTCTCTGTTTCTTGTTTTGTGTACCTCCCGACCTTCAGGACAATGACTAAGGCATCAACAGCTGGAGCACTTTCGATCATACATCTTACGTTCTCATGTTTTATCTTCATATCATCATCATCATGAGTATCAAAAATTCCAGGTGTGTCAATAACTGTGATCTTTCTTCCATCAACCATGCTTTCACTGCTACAGTAGCACATTCAGTTGTCACAGATTCAGGTGAATCAATACATATTTTCCAAGAATTGTGTTTCCAGCACTGCTTTTGCCATCTCCAGTAACTGGTAACAACTAATTACCTATAATAGAGTAATATTAGCTCTATTGTTAGCAGGCAACAGTTCATCTATTAAAGGGGTCATATGATGCTATTTTAAAGATCATTATTTTGTGTATTTGGTGTAACAGAATATGTTGACATGCTTTAATGTTCAAAAAGCACATTATTTTTCAAATACTGTACATTATTGTAGGTCCTCTATGCCCCGCCTCTCTCAAACGCGTCGTTTTCAACAAAGCCCCC